CTGTCCTCATTCCTGTCACCGTCGATTCCAGTTATGTGTCACTTAGAGGGATCCAGCCTGAGAAATGTGTCATTAGGCGGTTTCATCACAGGGCAAATGTCATAGGAAGCACTTCCACAGGCCGAGGTGGCACAGCCTATTGCACACCGAGGCTGCAGGTAGGGACCACAGTCACATGTGAGGTCTGTCTTGACCAAAATGTCTTTGTGCAGTACTTGACAGCTGGGATTTTATAGAAACAAAGATTCATCCATTTTGTTGCATGGATAAACAACTCTTTTGGAACTCGTGCTGCAGTGGCTGGTGATAGTTTCATAGTGCTAAGGCTTAACCTCTTGCATCACCAGGGAGGCCCCTTGCCTTCTGTTTTAGTCAGACTTCTGCAGAGAAATAGAACCAACGGGATGTGGGGTGTGAGAGAGAGAGAGTGGGGGTGGGGTGGGGAAGGATGATTATAAAGAACTGGTTCCCATGACTATGGGGGCTGAGACGTCCCAAGATCTGCAGGGTGAATGCCCAAGCTGGAGGCTCAGCAAAGTGGGTGTAGACCTCTCAGGCCTCTGAAGGCCTAAGAACTCAAAGAACCAGTGATGCAAGTTCCAGGCCAAAAGCTGACAGGCTCAACCCTGAGCGCTCTGGCCTAAGAGCCAGAGGCCAGAAAGGACCAATGTCGTTTGGTTAACGTCCCAACTCAAGGCGCTCCCCGTTTTACTCAGTCTTTTCTTTCTATTCAGGACTGCAGTGGATTAGAGGAGTCCGTCCCTCCTCCGCACCATCTCCACAAGGGAGGGCCATCTGCTTTACTGGGCCTACCAACTCGAATGTTCATCTCGCTTAGAAACAGCCTCACAGACAGATCCAAAAGAAAGTTTGGTCAAACATCTGGAGGCCCCATAGTCTCGTCCCCCTCTTCTATGGTTACAGCTGCCTTCTCTGGGTTGTCCCCCTCTTGCCCATTCAAGTCTAGAATGTTTCTTCACTCTACCTTCTTTTCCTTAATCCATACTACGGTAAATAGATCCTTGGGTAACCATTGCTTCATTTTTCTGTTAGAGTCTCGATCTGCTGCCTGCTGGCCCCTGGCTGGTAGTCTTATTTTTACATATTAATAGCTACAATTAAAATTCCTAAATAATAAATTCTGTGAGCTAAGTGGTAAAGAACCTATTCAAAGCAATGATAGGCCAGCTGGGAGATTCAGAAGGCCTTTGATGCACAGTGTCTCTCTCTCCCTGGTCTTCCAGTCTGAATGTCCACGTGAAACCAAGGGCAGAGGGTCCAGAGGAAGCCTTAAATGCTAACACCTCAATAGCGTTTACTGTCCATAAAATCTGGGCCAAGATCCCTGAACTTGATCCGGCTCATCATCTCCTGTGGGACACAGCTGGCCACTGACAGGCAATCCAACACAACATTTAACATTCAAAATGTGAAACGTAGAATAATGAAGCCATCTGTTCCATATTATGTTGTCCAACAATTATAAGTAATGTGAGCTATAAATACAACAAGCAAAAGGAAGCAAACAAAAGACCATTAATCAATACAGACAATTTGCACGAGATATGATGACTCAAGTGTATTTACACAAACACAGAATAGTCTTTTGAGGAGAACGCAAGCGGTTGACTAAAGATCTAAACTACGACCCGCCGATCTCCCGCGGTCCTACAACTTGTCTGAAGTAATGAGTCCGCATGGGAATTTCACATCGAGAACTTTAATGTTGACATTGAAAGACTCACATAGTCGTGCAGTGGTGCCTTAGCATCCAGAGTAACTTCATGAGGGTTACATCATAAGGACACCCTCATGGAGAGGACTCTAAGAAACTAGTCACCCTCACACTCACTCCTGCTCAGAAAAGCTGTGGGAGTTTAAGGGGGGTGGGGAACGGATAAGCAAAATGGTTTGGCTCTGGATGCGCACGGCCCGCAGTCTCTTCGTCACTCGGGCTACCCCATAGTCACCTCCAACTCAATCTACCTAAAATTGGACAAACCCTCTTCCTGGTATGGACTTTCTTTTACAGCCTGGGCTGTGGTCCCAGAAGGTGGACGCAACTCAAATATGTAAGTCAAATCAAAGGGTGGAACTAAGGGATATTGTGCAGGAGCTCAGAGCAATGAACTAATATACCCGCAGCGGAGGGGAGAGGCTTTCTAAACAGGCGCTCAATGATGAGTAACACATAGAATAAGAATCGTAGCACGGGGGCCTCCCCGGTGGCGCAGCGGTGGAGCGCTGGGTTGCGAAGCTGCCCGCGGCCTCTGCGACACCAGTTCAATCCCCGGCTGCTCCCCGGCCACTGGAGGAGGGTCCCACATGGCGCGCAGACCTCTCCTGCCGCCCGCTGCTCCCCTCAGCAGTGTACCTCGGTCCTTCTGCCTGCTCTGCTCCCCGCTCTGGCTCTGGTGAATTCGCTCACCCTCCCGCGCTTCTGACTGTGCCCAGTGCTTGTATAAATAAATAAATAAATCTTAAAAAAAAAAAAAAAAAGAACCGTAGCACGATGCCATTTATATAAACTAGACACCAACATGTGACCCCCAAAACTCCACCTCAACATTTTAGGGCTGTATACTTTCTTGAGAACATGGGAAGGCTAGGGAGGAGACAAAAGAAATCAGACTTTGGACTGACCACGGAGGACAGTGAGCCACGAATGCAGACACGTGATAAACTTGAGTCTCTGGGTCAGAGATTTTTTTCAGCTACACAAGTAACAAAACGTAAATGTCTCGCTGATTCGCTCCAGGTGACTCAAAAAAATAAAGGAAATTAGAAAAAGAAAAATACTCACCCACATTCCCCAACACCCAAAAATAAGCATTGTGAACATTCACAAAACTTCCCCCATCCACTGCTTTTTATTTCATGTAGCTATTTTAAATATAAATAATTAATACTTGTACTACTTTTCATATAGCTATATTACGTGTAAGTGGTTCATCATTTTACCTCTTTGTGGTATTTTGATTACTATCATAAATTAGAATTTCTTAAGGTTAAAAGAACTATGACAAAAGGGTTTAAAAAGTGTTCAGTCCTCCCTGGTGGCGCGAGGGGTTAAGTCTCAGCACTATGAAGCTGTCTGCAGCCACTGTAGACTGAGTTCGACCGTGGCCAGGGAGCTACCCATGTGGCGCAGCAGATCTCTCCTGTCTCGCCTGCTGCTCTCCTCCTGCTCCCCTCAGCAGCGTGTTTCAGTCAGTCTGCCTGTTCTGTTCCCCACTCTGTCTCTGGTGAAGACTCTTACCACCACCCACCCACCCCCGCACCTCTGGCCTGTACCCCAGCTCTTGTATGCATAAATAAATCTTAAAAAAAAAAAAAAAGAATTACAGCAACAAAAGTGACATTTAGGAATAAAACTAGATGGTTTATGGAGAAAACAAAAAAGAATGAGTCCCTTCAGATTCGGCCCCATTCAAGTCGAAATCAACTAAAAGTATAGGCTGAGAGCAAGCAGGTGATGGCCCCTTGGGGACAGGCCAGGTGACTTGCCCACCTGCCCACCAGGCAGAGAAACGCCCCACTGGGCCTCAGTCCTCAGCCCACTGTCTTCTGTCTAACCACAGGCACAAATGTGGGGAAAGCAATTCCCAGCTTTGCTCAAGCGGCCTTCCCTGGCCCCCCAATTTGTCATTTTACATTCTCTCACAAGTCATTCTGTCCTTATTCTTTGACACTCTCACAGGCCCCTGAACATACCGAATTAGAATCAAGTACTTCTTCACACTAGATTTGTCTAAGGCCTATCATCCCCTATGAGACAGTCAGGTGCAAGAAGGTAGGTCGCTTCCCCAGCACCTGACATGCTGAGTGGCTATCGCTGAGGGTTTGAGTCACATTCGTTGAATGAATGACATGTAACAACTTCACGTGCTCATGTCCCTCCCCTGCGTCTCCATCTTCAGCGGTCATGCTACTACCATTCTGCACGTCACTGGATTCCAAGTTCAGGGGATGGCTCCATAGGAGAAAAATCTCATGTAGCAACAACAAAAAAGCTGGTTTATTGTTTTTTAAGTGCCTTTCTTTCCAGTCCATTTACATGCGCCCTTAACCCGCAGTGAACGCACTCTGTTTGAAGTGACTTTTAGAAACCATAATCACTAAAATTGAAAACGCCTATTTAAGCCAGACTCCCCCTTTGTGATATTAAAGTATCCCCTCTGCGCTGAGTCCCTCCATGAGGCCTATTCCAGCTTTTAGTCTACCTCATGGGCTTTTCATCTGGAACCTCTCGTGATCTTCAAGTTGTAATTTTCACAAGTGGAGCCCTAAAGCTCTTTAATATTTTTGTTTACCACAATTATTCATTTCATTTCTGCAAGTGTTTGGTAGCTTAATTCTCGGTAGTATCTTATGAAAGAATGCTGTAACATCTCACAGTATTAAAAGAAAAAAGTAAAAATGCTAAAGACAGCAATTAACTGAGCAGTTAAAATACTTCCATCAGTATCAGAAAGCTCAAACGTGAACACAAGTAATGATCTCAAACACATTCAAGAGGGAACATCGGGACGCACAGTACCTGAGAACGTTGTATATCAGGGCCAGGACTGGGGAGGTGCGGGAGGGGCAAGGCGAGATCCTGCCATATTTTAAAATTCTGTATTTTGTTCATTGTTAATTTTTTTAAAGATTTATTTATTTATGCATATAAGAGCTGGGGTACAAGCCAGAGATGGGGGGGGGGGCGGTGAGAGGATTCACCAGAGACAGAGTGGGGAATGGAACAGGCAGACTGACTGAAATACACTGCTGAGGGGAGCAGCGGGTGAGACAGGAGAGGTCTGCTGCGCCATGTGGGTTGCTCCCTGGCCGGCTAGGGATCAAACTCGTGCTGCAGATGCTGCGGATTGCGTCATAGTGCAGTGCTTAACCCCTTGCACCACCAGGGAGGCCCCATTGTTAATTTTTTAAGTTGATTCTTCTTTTAGAATATTAATTAAAATATTACTGATGCGTCCTCTAAAGTTAAGGACAATTACCAGATAACCCAGGAATTCCACGCCTAGGTATATACTTCAAAGAATTAAAAACAGGTACTCAAAAAATATTTACACATGAATGTTCACAGCAGCATTACTCTAACAGACAAATGTGGAAACCACTCAAATGTCCATCAGCAGATGGAGAAACAAATCATCTTATAGCCATTTAGTGGAATATTATTCAGTCGTACAAAAGGAATGAAGTACTCATAGATGCTATGGCATGCACGCATGTTGAAAACATGATGCTGAGTGCAATGACTCAAACATAGAAACGTCACACGTTGTATGATTCTTCTTATATTAAATGTCCAGAATAGATAAATCCATCAAAATGAAAGGAGATTAGTGGGTACCAGGGGCTGGGAGGGAGGAGGGAGAAATAGAGAGTGAGTGCCCATGGGTTGGGGAATTTATTTTCAAGTGATGGAATAGCTTCGGAAGTAGATGAAGGTGGCAGTTGCATAACATTGTAAATATACCTAATACCATTGAATTATTCCTTTGAAAGGGATTAATTCTGTGTTAGCTGAATTTCACCTTAATATAGATCTATCTCTTCTGGATTCCTGTGGTGTATTAATGTTCCCCGAGTTCAGTGCCTGAAGTAAGGGCCTGACTTGTCATCTTTCACTTGGATCAACTCTTTAGTTTTACTTTTAACCAGAAATAAACTGGGTGAGAAACTGAAATAAGCTGGGGCCATACACAAATCTGTGCTTGACTCCAGCTAACAGAATAACTCATTTCTGGCTCAAAATTAGTAATAGCAGCTGCCCCACGACCCTTCCCTTGCAGCACTTCGAGGACTCAGTCATCACACGCCGGGCAAAACACCAACACACTTTCTCCTCAGCGAGGTTATTGGGAAAAGTTTAATCAGCTACGGAATGTTGTGGGAAGCAAAGGCCACCTGTGCAGGGGGAGGGACAGGACCCCTCTGGTCCTGGTTCGTGGAAGTGGGGTCTAGCAGGTTCCCTCAGATGCTCGACATCCCAGGTTGAGTGGAGAACAGAGTGATTCGAGAAAACTGGACGATTCCTTCAGATGGTTCCTTCACCTTGGCTTCAGTTACTTCAGAGGCTTACAAACAGACAGACAGAAAGGAATATATTAACACACCAGGAACTGAACAGCCTAAGTTTTCAAAGTGGCTCCAGATGAGCTTCACTCCACGTTGGTTTGCTCCTGAAGGTCTCCAGGTGTGAGGCTCAGCTAACTCGAGTGTTGCTCTCCCCAGCGGAGCATGAAGATTCTGCCCCTGAGTGAAATGGGGAGGCCGCTCGTGCTGGAGCGACGAACGCTTCACAAGTTTTCCAAAAGCTGCTGTCCCGGCTACAGAGAGCAGCTCACCCAACCCGAGGCCGGCCACGACCCCTGGGGCTAGTGACCCCAGGCACCAGCTGCCTCTGAACTTGGATTTAATAAAACTATGCCCGCTGCTTCCCCCTCCCATAAAGGCTAATAGAGCCACGGGGAAAAACATGGGAAGCCGAGCCAGTCTCTGAGCTCTCCCTAGGAAGAGAGAAAATCCTCTTTTATTTTGTACAAATCCAAGGAAATCTGCTTTTCCATGAGTGACCTAGCGCAGAAGTCAGCGGACTGTTTAGTAAATAAAGTTCTGTTGGACACAGCCACGCCCGTTCATTTGTGGAAGGTCGCGGCCGGCTGGGCAAGTGGAAGAGCTGCCACAGAGACTGTGGGGCCCACAAAGCCTTAAATATCTACCATGCGCCCTTTACAGAAAGGCAGCTGGCCCCTGACCTAACTACTGCAGCTCTAGCCGCGACGGCCTACAGGTCCCCAGTGGCAGGCGCGCTGGCGTGTTGACTCCTGACCGCAGGTCACTCCACTTCCCCCAGGCCAACAGCTCACTGCCAGCTCTGTCCCTGCGTGCCAGGTTCCCAAAAGCACCAGCCCACTATGTCAGTCAACAGGCGCATCCTGGCGCACGGGATCCCGGGAGACAGACCCAGTAACACTCCCTTCTACGCTAGGACAGCTTGTCTGTAAAACAAACACGCACTTAGGGATCCCATCTTACCCACTTGGGCCGTCCCCGGTACCCCGAGTCACGCGTTAGTTTCAGCTTATTTCCAACTCCTCTAGCCTTGGCTCTGAGAAGCTGTCATCGCTGGCATCGCTGTATCTATCACTAGATTAAAAGAGGAACTCATTTAGCAAGGTTTTTTAAAAAACCAACAAAATCTGGACAATTATTCCATTTACAGTTCCAACACTTTCCGTAATTAACCCCCAACTCAGAGAAAATACTAAGGAATATTCTAGCACATTTCAGTCAGTCACCACAGGCCACACACAACGGCCTCCTGTGTGTGACCAGAGGATTGGGTCGCTGGTTTTCATCTTCAATTAGAAGTGACCTATTCAGAAAGTATATAAAAGCATTTCAATTTAGGTCAAAATTTATAATCTTCTGAAGACCACTGATCATTTCTGAACTTTGACAAAAACCCTGCAAGCAGATTGCTCCTGCTCCTTTTCCCTATCAACCAGAGGCATTATGTTAACAAAATGATTTAAAATGAAAGTCTGAGCTGATGGAGCCATTTATTTTCTGTGACTCTACACTGGTCCTATTAGGGTCTAAATCTCAGTATCTGATGTTGGGCATCACTTAGCCCTACGCCTAGTGATCTCAATTTGTTCTCAAGGTCAATAACATAGCATGAAATAGTACCTGGCTGCTCAGAGCTTTTCCATTTTTCACGCTCCCAACAACTGTTTCCTTTGGCAAGAGGAAAGGAGCGAGAGAACAGAGAGCATAGCTGTGTCTCCAACACCCTGAGTCAAGGTTGTCAGTGGTAAGCTGCGGTGTGTCAGCAGTCCCTCGGGTCATGTCCCTGATGCAGGCGAGAGGCTGAGGGGCCCTATTTCCTCATCATCCGCTGTTATACCTGCTTCCTTCACACACACACACACACACACACACACACACACACACACACCACCTCTAGGCTGGGAAAAAGCAGGGTGATCCCACCCTTGCCTGGTTGTAGTACTTATTAGCCACATACCTTCAGACTGGTCATTTGACTCCTCTGAGAGTCTGGAAAAAATTAATACTAAAACCTACAACTCACCAAAATGTTATGAGGCTCACCTGAGTATGGATAAAGGTGTGCTGAAAATTATATAAAAATATGAGTCATTGTTGTTTACGTGGTTACATATTCCTGACTTGGAATCTCTCGAACAGTCATGCAAAGGGCCAAGCACGTGATTTGCAGACTGTTTCCTGTGCCGGGAGTAGTTCCCGCCCCCATCTGTTTCCCACCCAACAGCTCTCTTTTCCTGTCTGAGGGCTGGTAGTGCCAAGCGCTGCCAATGCATCAAAAAGGCACAGCTGAGTCTAGCAAAGTCAGGCTGGACCTGAGCTTCCTCCTGGCGAAGGTAAATGACTGGCTTAGATCTTTTTTTTCATATGTGTCAGGGGGTGGAGCCGTGATAATAAAGCAAAACATGACCCTCAACAACAGAATTATCAAAATAAGCAATGCTGCTCAGCTTGACTTTACGGCACTCCCACGCCAGCAAAGAGCAAGCGCTGGACTTACAGTGGGGATGATCACCCTTATGCCAAACAACACTGGAGCCCGCACATTCAATAAATGGTGGGTGCTTATGATTTAGGGATTCATTTTTGCCTCATACAGAACAGACTTAAAGAAATCCATACAATAAAATCATCGGGGTATCTTTTCACTTAATTCAAGGCATCTCAGCCTCATCTGAGGACTAGCCCATCTTTTTAAATAATCATCTGCACACAGATACACTTCCCAGTGGGAGAGTTATAAGGTATTGGGGTTTTGCCTGCTACATTTTATGAAATGGGTACAGATTCATTCAAGGGGAACTTTTAAAAAAAAGATTTATTTATTTATGCATACAAGAACTGGGGTACAGGCAGATCTACTGAAACACACTGCTGAGGGGAGCTGCAGGCGAGACAGGAGAGATCTGCTGCACCATGTGGGTACCTCCCTGGCCAGGGATCAAACTCACGCTGCAATGGCTGTGGATAGCTTCACTGCATCTTAACCCTTGCACTACCAGGGAGGCCCTCAAGGGGAACTCTTTAACACCAAACTCACTGTCCCATAAGGTAGTCAGAAAGGCAGCTTAGTGATCTAAATTTAAGTCAATTCATATCTAATCAAATGTAAGACAACATTCCCTCACTTGCACATATTGAGCCGCACCCCAAGTGTCACAGCCACACGGGGCTAGTGACACTGCACTGAATAGTGCAGATGATAGGACACTCCTACCACGGCAGAAAGTTCCATGGGCTGGCGTGGCATTCAAAGCAGATGAAGGGTAATGAAGGGTAATCACCACGCAATTGGTCCTCTGGTTGCTTCCTTTTATTTTATTTATTTATTTATTTATTTATTTATTTTTTTCTTTTTGTGGGACCCTCGCCGGTGGCCGGGAATCGAACTGGCGCTGCAGAGGCTGCGGGCAGTCTCACAACCCAGCACTCAACCGCTGCGCCACCAGGGGAGGCCCGCTTCCTTTTAGAAATGTGTTTGTGGTTCTGTTTTTAACATCTGGCTCTCTAGTTTATTAAAACCACGGCACATCTCCGTCATGCACGCGTGCGTCCTGAAATAGTGGAAGTGCTCTTTGAAAAAAATACCCTGCCTCACTATTTGTTCTAAGACAAAATCACCAGCAGCAACACATAGGAATCAGTATCCCTACAGCCCCGGCTTGACTTTTAAGACTGGACTGTGATGGTCCGCCGTGGTTCGGACAAACAAAAGGCTTGTCACAGTCAATTGTCTACAGTTCCTACTAAATTCCCAACATAAGAAAACATGTCTCCCCAGGGGCCAGGGCAAGGCTAGAGCAATGGGCCCTGGCGCTCACCTTTTCTGCTACCCCGAGGCAGTCATTCAACTCTTCTTCATTAACAGAAAGAGGTGGTTGGAATTTAAAAAAGAAAAAAAATTTAACGGCAGACTCAGGATTCCCAGTATGACTGAGGCCCTCCAGTACTTTCTATCAAAATCCACTTCATGTGGGAAAAGCATGTTTTAAAACAGGATGCTATGCGCACAGCTCTCCCCAATGCGTTGTTACCACTGTACTGACTTCCTTCTCAAAGAGTCCCTGGAAACCATAAAATAGAAGAGCGATGGAATAAAAACTTAGCATGCTTTGAGTGAGTTTTGCATGGAATAGCAAATGGCAGAATGTAACCCTGGCGGGGCGTTAAAAGCACCGTGCTCTCTACTATGATTAACCGCGTTCCTGGTGGTACCACATCAGCAGGGGGGCAGGGAGTCCCTCTGAGCACACAGGACCTCTGAACCAGCATTTAATCCCCAAGGAAAGGGAGAACCAAACGTGTTTCATCAGTGGAACTTCACCAGGAAAGGTCTCCAGGTTTGGAGTTGGTGTCAAATCACAGAGGGGGGAGCTTTAAAAAAAAAGTTTAAAGAACTGTTAAAAAAAAAAAAAAAAAAAAAAAAAAAAAAAACAAAGCAGGGGGCCTCCCTGGTGGCACAGCGGTTGAGCGCTGGGTTGCGAAACTGTGCGCGGCCTCTGCGGCGCCGGTTCGATCCCCGGCTGCTCCCCGGCCACCGGAGGAGGGTCCCACATGGCGCGCAGACCTCTCCTGCCGCCCGCTGCTCCCCTCAGCAGTGTACTTCGTTCCTTCTGCCTGCTCTGCTCCCCGCTCTGGCTCTGGTGAATTCTCTCACCCTCCCGCGCTTCTGACTGTACCCAGTGCATGTATAAACAAAACAAACAAACAAACCAGCAAACAAATAAATAAAGCATGCCTCTAAAAAAAAAAAAAAAAAAAAAAAAACAAAGCAAAGGGCCTCCCTGGTGGCGCAAGGGGTTAAGCACAGCACTGTGAAGCTGTCCACAGCCTCTGCAGCACGAGTTGGATCCCTGGCCAGGGAGCTACCCACACGGCACAGCAGACCTCTCCTGTCTCACCCGCTGCTCCCCTCAGCAGTGTATTTCAGTCAGTCTGCCTGTTCTGCTCCCCGCTCTATCCCTAGTGAATCCTCTCACCCCCCACATCTCTGGCCTGTACCCCACTTCTTGTATGCATAAATAAATCTTAAAAAAAAAAGCAAAAAGGAATTTTTTTTTTCGGTTCACTTATATTTGAAATGTAACAAAGGGGAGAATGTAGTATTTCTCCACTAGTTTAAACCTTACAACATGCCATTATCAACTGTTCCTCACAACAATCCTCAAGGAGGAAGATGGGGAGCTTGGGGACAGGGGCCTTGGGAAAATGACCCAATAAGTGGCAGGCCCAGAAATTAAATCCATAGCACCCACTCTGTTCATGGACACTGCCCCCATGTAAATAAAATCTCTCCACCGGATATGGTAAGAACAGAACGACCCCTGGGAACAACAATCAGAGGTCCCAAAGGTATTAAAGGGAAAAACCAAAAGATAATTCTACATTGAAAACACTGCTGGAAAATGCGCCTGAATTCACGCAAGGAAAGAATATCTTATTCACTGAGTCAAAGAGAAGGCCAGCCAAGTAGAGCTAAGTCTGCCCAGAGGAAGCAATTCACGCCCTATTTGCAATGGAGGGGCCTCCACCAATGGGGACAGTGGATTTTGATTCTGTCAACTGGCATCCTAACAGGATATAGATGGATATTCCAGCTCCCCCTCTTGCTAAGAGGTTCAGGAATGTTTACCAAGAGCCAGAGAGCGGTGTGAGTTGAGACAAAGGCATTTAAAACCTTCTGGGGAGATTAAGGGGACTGCAAGATGTTCCGAATGGATTTGTGTGGTCAGGGGAAGGCACTAAGAGTTTAAAACTCCAAAATATAGTGGGGAGATCCTTCTGCCAGGAAGATGGATCAAGAGGAGGCAATCTGGAGAGACCAGGCAGGATGCTTTACAGTAGGCAAGAAAGAGGAGACCAGAACTCAGGTCAGATTAACAACTCAGGTCAGATTAATCACATCCCCACTCTGTTTCCTACCACAGATCAGGCAGTGTGTCAAGTGCTTTACATTTAGTAGGAAACTTCACCTTTGTGACTGCTATGGCAGTGTGTGCCATGACCACCTCATTTTTATAAAGAAATAGATGCCTGGAGGAGTAAGGTCGCAGTCAGCTGGGAAGTAAAAGAGCTGGGTTTAAATTCAGCAAAGCCCACCTCCAGCACCCTTTGAAGCCCAGGCCACTCTCCCTAGCAGCACTGCAGAAGATACGGGGGTCCCAGCAGCAGGAATCTCCAGGCACTGCTGACTAGGATGGATGGGAGAGGAGTTGAGCCAGGCGTGTGGATGATGTGGATGGCGGGACCCTGGCAGGAAGATGTTTACTCTGATGTCACAATCTCAGGGGCCTGGGGGTATATTCAAAGAGAACAGGACAAGCTGCAGTGCCAGCACTTCCACGCTGTTGGGGCTACACAATTGTAGGTCCAAGTCCTTTCTTAGCTGGACCCCTAGAGGAAAGTCGCTGGGTGGGGGACTTTGGGGTCACGGACACCAGGAAATGACATTCCAGTTGGCAGGTCTGTGCAGTTTTCCAGGAAGTGGGTCCACAGCTTCTATCATATTCTTAGAAGGTTGTCTGTCCCCCCGAAAAGGTAGAGAACTGTCACACTACCTGATGAGTCCCCTAGGACAGGAGATGTGCTCTTACTCAACTAGGACTTGATTCTCTCGTGCCCAGCAGTGATGGGAACAAACTGATGCAGGTGGGACAGGGAATGAATGCTGACGGATGCAGCCATTAGACACTAGGAGCAACTTGGAAAAAAGCACAGGAGGTACTGCGTTCAAAAGGCAGCCTTCTGTAATTAATAAAGAATCTGCAGTGATGCTTTCAGAGCCTGTGAACATCCTGTTTCCCACAACCCTTTCATCCAACGGTTCGGGCATCCCAGCTGATCCTCATTTGACCCGGTTATTACACTGAGGGTTGCGTCCACATTTTTAATTGGTTTATTTTTAAAAAAAAATCTTAGTATCATTATGGAATTTTTTGAAACTGTGATGTGTTAAAATCCAATATTTTCACTATTCTTTCTCATGTTCTAATTGTCCAAATGAGGCCAGCAGTTCTTTTAAACCAACTTCTTTGACTTATATGAAAGCTCCTATTTGGTTTTTTAGTCTTTCCTTTTGAGTCCAGGAAAATGGGTGTTTTGATGGTGGCGTTGACATATATCTGAGGAGGTGAGACCCTATCCCCCTACATCATATACAGTGTTGTAACCAGTGTTACCTCAATTACAGAAAAAGATTCTATAATGACATTAACTTTACGAGAATCCTAAGATGTTGGTAACTGCCTCTGGAGTAATTGCTAAGAGCGGTAAGTCAGTTACCTGGAAGACAGTTTGCACCCCTGTTGTAGGTAGGCATTCAGATTCCCAGTTGCCGCAAGCAGTAGGCCCAGGTATGGCGGGGAAGGCTTCATCGGCCTAGAAGAAAACTCAGGATGGAATTGGACGCCAACAAAATAAGGGTGATCTGAAATGAGAACAATCACATGCAATTGAGACAGGCAAGCATGAGAACTGCTTTAAAGGTCCTATCTCTGAATAAGGAAGTCGCTAAGTGGTGAACGGGTCACTTGCTATCAGAGCCAGTTACTTTCATGATGCGTCTGCACAGCAAAATTTCAGAGTGTGAAACACAGCTCAATCAGCCATCTGCCCTTTACTCGTGGAAGGTGGCAGAGCGCGTGCAATTAAGCAAGACTTTCAACGGCAAGATGAATTCCGCTTTCCCCAAAACTCTTTCCCATGGTGTCCCTCATTCCTGAGGCCTGCTTTCTCTTCCTTGGCTTCAGAAATCGACAGTCTCTTCTCCTTTTACAAGGGAAGCATGTCCCGGAAATATAGTCAGTACTGCTGCTTGTCTACACTGGCACCCCTACTCGGCCTTCGCCAACCCGTCCTGGGTCATGAAGAATCCCTGGGTGACAAAACGATGATCTTTCAACATGTTACTGGCGGTCACGGCTCAGGCTTGTAAGAGTTCAACATATTTTTATTTTCTTCCTTCTACTTTCTGTATCTTATGAATCTTTACAATGAGCACCCATTACCTACACTACCAGAAGGGAAAATGAAGCTGTTCTTATATTGAGGGAAATAAGAAGCTCTGGGATGAGCAATTCAAGTTCTTCAAGCCGCAGTAGGAACAGAAAAGTAACTTTTCCCAGGCATATGGAGTCCCCTGTTTTGCAATGATCACATTTTGAAATCTGGGTTACAGATTTTTTCCCTAATCAGAATTCTCACAAACTATGTTTATTCCCAGATTAGAAAGCAAATCCTAATTAGAGAGGCAGCAACACCCTAAACCCACAATTGCTACAGTGCAGAGCAGTGTCAGTATGCTGTATTCCCCACTTCAAAAATCATTTGTTATAGATATATACCAAGCTAGAGATAATAAAGTATATAAATAGACATATACATAATAAAAGTTATAATAAAAGTATAACTTTAAACCTTTCAGTGAGATACTTTATCAAATCATTTAAAAAGCTAGTCTGGAATTCAGAAATGCCCATCACTTATCCTGGAGACCCAAAACTGCAGTAGTCAGGAAATGTTGATTGAATGAAAATGTCCAGTCTCTTAAAGGTAGCATTTAAAGCTTTGCTATACAAAATGGTAGCCCCCAAGCCACATGTGGCTACTTCAATCCATTCAACGTGCTCAACAATCCCAAATGGGTAGTGGCTACCATATTGAAAAGAGCAGAATAGCTCCATCATTGTAGCAGGTTCTACTGGACAGCTCCGGGCCCAGGAAAATCCCGTGCAGAAATCCTCTGCATCACACATAGGAAGAAACCTCCTTGAATTAGAGGGACAGCAGGCTCTGAAAACTGGGGGAGGGGAATGCTACCTTCTCCTGGGAATGTGTCCCTAACAAGGAAAGAAGAGAAATCACCCTCATTTAGAAAAGAAACTAAGCAATATAACTTTAAATTTAAGAGGCAGTGACTCTTACAGAACAGCACTGAGGATGTCTCTGAAATGAGCAGACAGTCATTGCATGTTTGCGCTACGACAGACAGAAGCTGCATTATGGACCGTGGTCACAGCCAGGGACAGAATATTTAAATGAATGAATCATTGCTCTGAATCACTTGATTCAAAACATCCTCTATGCCATTATGAGAAAAGAGACTAAAAAGGTTTTATTTTGCTGATGTTCTACCTGTCAGATAAAGTATCTTTCAAGTAATGCTCTTAATTGCTTTGAAACAAATTAGACTATTCTCAAGCTTTCTTGTTCGTTTTGAAGATCTTTAGGAAGATAAGGATTGTTGGATACGGTTTCTAAGGTGTAGCTAAGATCAAACACTGCTGGGAGATTTTCCTTAATAAAATAAATTCCTTGCAGTCAGCTTTTAAAGATTTCACAGCAGCTCTCATTTCCTTTCCAAACCACATAAAATTTGAAAGTGTCAACGGGAATCTAAATTCTTGCGATGAAAGAGGTTTGTTAGTATTTGCTGACAATAATGAGAACCAGGAGAATTAAAAGAGAATAAGTACTTGAACAAAGTAAACAAATAGTAATATCTTGAGAAATTCTCTGCCCTCTGGCATGCCTCTTACTAGACTTCAACACTAGACACTTCCACATGAAAAACATTTTTAATGATGGGCATTCCCCTTAGAAAGACTATAGGAAATACATCCCTCCTATTCTAATTTAAAATTTTCGTATGGATTGACAATCATAGATGGACTGTCCAATGAAAACAAGAAGGACAATACAATTCCACGAGGGACAGACCCTACAAAACCGGGGCAGGAACGTGACGTCTTTGCACTCTAGTCTCCTTCCCTGTAAAGTGGGAATGACATCACCTGCCTTGTAAATGACACAGGCACACGGACACCCTAGCGAGGGGTCTAGTGAGAAGCATCTAGTGCGTGCGCACTCGATGTCCATTGCTTTCCTTCCTTCGGGGTCCGGGGAACATGCTACTGAGTTCAAAGAAGCCTTCTCCAACTTCAATTCTCCTCCCTGCTCGGAACTCCTGAAGCACCTGAACAAATTAGAGACAGAAAAGAAAGGAACAGAAAGAGGAATTTGAAGTCGAGAATAGTGACATGAGCTAGATGGAAAAAGGTTAGAAAAAGAGTCAGTGGTTCAGGTTATGAGGGGACTAAAGTACACAGGTTGAAAAGGTAGGCTCTAAAATTTTATGCTGTCATTTTCAGAGCATCCTGTCCACACTAAGCATTCCATAAATCACACTGGCTTCTCCAACAACTTAGTGTCTCAGGCCCTGCTTAGTCAGAGCCCCGGGCTCGTTGGGAGATACTGGAAAGGGGAAAACCTGGAGGAAGCAAGGAGCTTGAGGACTAGTCTGGGTCAGAGACATCGAGTGCTGGGACTGGGGTAGCAGGGGTAGGAACGCAATCCCAGCGAATCCACAAGTCTTGACAACTGATTACAAGTTGGTGTATGAAGGGGAAGAGGTGCTAATGAAGGTCAATTTCAAGTCTCACGGTCAGTGGTTCCCAACCAGAGTGAACGTGATGTTCAGGGACATTTGCCAACACCTGGAGATGTTTTTGGTCATCACAACTTGAGTTGGGGGGAAAGGGAAGTGGGAGAGGTAGACGCTGCCACTGGCATCCAGAGGGTGGAGACCGGGGATGCTGCCAGCCATCCCACAGGGCACAGGGCAGTGCCTTACACAAAGAATAATCCCACTCCAAACGTCACAGGTGGCAAGAGGGAGAAACGCTGCATTAGGAGATGGATGATACCTTAACAGAAAGTCAGGAGAAAGAACTAATTTGGAGAGCATGTAAATTTCATGTTCATAAGTTGAGTCGGAAGTGCCAGGAGACTATCCAGATAGACAAATAGGTCAAGCAGACGCCTGAAAAGGTTACGGTCAAGTTAGTTAAGTGAAGTGCATGTATGTGGGTCTAAAATAGGGACTGCCAAACAGTTCTGCACAGGGCCAAATACAACTGTATTGCTTTGCGGCCAAATACAACTGTATTAGGCTTTGTGGACCAGAAAACCTCTTTCCAACTACTTATCTCTGCTACTGCAACATAAAATCAACCACAGACAACACAGAAATGAATGCGTGTAACTGTTCCAATGATCCTTTACTCACAGATACTGAAATTGCACAAAATTTTCATGCGTCACAAATATTATTCTTTGTTTTTTTTTTAACCATTTAAAGATGGAAAGGCCATTCTTAACTCCTGAGCTGTACCAAACAGTCAGCAAGCTGAATCTGGCCCACAGGCCACAGTTGGCTTCTCTTGAGCTAGAAGGTCAAGAGAAAGCGCTGTTACCGAGGACTTCCCGTGTCCTTGCAGTTCTGAAGGACAAGAACACTGCCCCCATCTGGTAACAATAGATGCAAAGTGGTTTGTGCCTAAGCTCCTGAGGGTGTCCCTGCCCAGCACAAGCCACTTCTTCGATGATCTTCCTCAACAGAAGTCCAATCCCTTTGCGGTGGGCTGGGTCTGAGTGCAGTGATCAGTGTTCACAAGTGAAGTGAGTGGCCCTTAGAGCACGAGCAACAGGGAAAGGCAAACCCAGGTGCAAGAAGGGGCCAGGTCCCAAACGCAACAGATGTCAGTGCCAGCCACCTGCAGTGAGTAGGGCACTGGGCCATTCATCCTCAAAGGAGGAGAAAGCAGAGTACCACTCTACAGCAGGCTGCCCGCCTCTGCCACACGCTCTAACCTAGAGGCGAGCGACGAGAAGCGCCAGAAAGGGTGGGGGTGGTAAGGAAGGATGGTCCTGGTGGGGCGGGCAGGCCGGGCCCACACATCATCCAGAGGTAGGTTAAGACTCACAGGTCCCCAAATGATGAAGAGGTACAGGTGGTCTGATTTTTCAAGCACTTTATATTCAGCGCATATTATTTCTACTGTCATGCGTATTTATTTCAAAGGCGAGAGGGGAAAAAAAGAGCAAACAAATGGGTCTGGAGCTGTATCTTCATACATACGGGCAACAAAGGATGAGCGCACACTACAAACATTCTACTTACTTGCCAGTTCAATGATTTCCATCCTCTCCCCATCGACATCCTGACCTACAAAATTTAAATCTTTCTTCTCAAATTGGTTGATCAGCTTAGGGTTCACCTGGAAAAAAAAAAAGAAATAAAGTATCTTTGGGAAGCAGAGTAACCCAGACATAAGTTTATGAGAATGCACTTCAGGGTCTCCCTGGTGGCGCAAGGGCTAAAGACACAGAGCTTATCAAGCTATAGCCAGCCACTGCGACATGAGTTCGATCCCCAGCCAGGGAGCTGACCCACATGGCGCAGCAGACCTCCCCTGTCTTTTTTTTTTTAAAAGAGGCATGTATTTTTATTTATTTATTTATTTGTTTGTTTTTTGTTTATTTGTTTGTATTTTTTTTTCTTTTATAGAGGCATGTTTTATTTATTTATTTATTTATTTGTTCATTTGTTTTGTTTATACATGCACTGCGTACAGTCAGAAGCGCGGGAGGGTGAGAGAATTCACCAGAGCCAGAGCGGGGAGCAGAGCAGGCAGAAGGACCGAAGTACACTGCTGAGGGGAGCAGCGGGCGGCAGGAGAAGACCTCCCCTGTCTTGCCTGCTGCTCCCCTCAGCAGTGTATTTCATCAGTCTGCCTGTTCTGCTCCCCACTCTGTCTCTGGTGGATCCTCTCACCTCCCCGCATCTCTAGCCTACAGCCCAGTTCTTGTATGCATAAATAAATAAATCTTTTTAAGAAAAGAAAAGAAAGAGAGAGAGAGAGGAAGGAAGGAAGCAAGGAAGCAAGGAAGCAAGGAAAGAAGAGAGAGAGAAAATGCACTTCATCAATTGCGTGAGTTTTCTATTTCAGTGGTGCTGTGACTTGGAGGCCATGTCGTCGGGTAAGTAAAGTTGTACTGGCCCGCAGCCACACTCACAGTTTTTGTATTAACAGTTGCTTCTGCACAAACATGAGAGAGTAAAGCAATTGCAACAGAGAGCATGGCCTGCAAATATTGACCATCCCTATATTCAATCCCCAAAGTCTATTTTGTTTTTAAACTCCTGATGAACCTGAGAGAGTCTAATCACAGGTCCTAAATCTGGGAGACTCATCTTCTAGCGCTCAAAGATGAAATACACAAAGTCGGATTATGACTCAGATATTCTGACTGGGAGCCTTAAGACTAGTTATTTATAGTTGTCCCCAAGGTTGCTTCTTCCCTTGAGTTATGTATAATGGACGATCTCTCCCCAAACCACAACTCTGCTTGAGGGTTGAAATTATTTTATTTACCTTGTGATTAACTGCAATGCTTTCTTATCATTACATAAAAGCTCTACAGAGAAGGTTGGAGCGATTTTTCTACTAAAATAGTACTTGTAGGGCTTCCCTGGTGGCGCAAGGGGTTAAGATGCAACCTGTGAAATTATCCGCAGCCACCACAGGTCGAGTTCGATCCCCGGCTGGCCAGGGAGCTACCCACATGGCGCGGCAGACCTCTCTTGTCTCGCCCGCTGCTCCCCTCAGCTGTGTATTTCAGTCAGTCTGCCTGTTCTGCTCCCCGCTCTGTCTCTGGTGGATCCTCTCAACCCCCCCCCACGCCTCTGGCCTGTACCCCAGTTCTTGTATGCATAAATAAATAAATCTTAAAATAAATAAATAAAATAGTGCTTGTAAATGACAACCCGATGACATGGCCTCAGCCTCTCCCCTCACTCGGCCATCTCCAGCCCTTTCCCATCTAAAATTAAAGCAGTGTCCCACACGTCCTGCTCAATCTTAACTCCACAGGCTTTATTTTTTTAATATTATACCAATTGTCATAATTTGTGATTATTTTTCCTTTTGTAAACGGCTTTATTGAGATATAACTCACATGCCATACAAAGTGTACAATAAGATGTTTTTTAATAAAGGATGGCAATTATCACCACAATCATCCCAAAACAAATCCTGCACCCTTTATCCATCATCCCCCAATCCACTAATAAACCCCAGCCCTAGGCACCCACTAATCTATATTCTGCCTGTATAAATTTGCTTATTCTGGGCATTATATGTTCATTGAATCATATACTATGTGGTCTTTTTTATTGGCTTATTTCACTTAACATAATCACATGACACTACGCCTCAAACTCAATGTAGACTTCCCAAGAGGTCCCCAAACTCCAAATCCATCAGAGAGGCACCCCTATTCCAAGAGGCAGTTGGTTCCCTTTCAGAAGATGCGAATCTCCCTTTCCCAAACTTGCCAAAATGAAGGGCAGGGGGTTAAGGATGAGGATGACAACTTGTCCTGGTCTAAGAGACAGAAGTTAGGGTAACATAGAATCCTGTTTATCCGTTGTGTAGATATTTAACGATTGTGCCTTTGGGAAAGCAAAAAAAAAAAAAAGGCAGAATCTCTTCACCCATCCACTTCCTCTCAGAAATATGGAGACCCCCTCTTTCCCCGAGCCCTATGGACATCAGGGGCTGGCGGGACATCTTTTCCAAAGGCCCTCTTGTCATTGCTGGGGTTCCCTGCACTACAATGCACAGTCCACAGTAATTCAGCATCAAGGCCGTACCTCATACCGATGTCTGTGTCTTTCTTCTATAAAAGGAACATCACCGTAAAGTTTTCCTGTGGAGATACAAGAGTGACATTAATACCGGCCTTCCGGTCCTGACCTTTAACCTGGGCCCTGCATCTCTGACTCCAGCAGGCTAGAAGAAATCACCCAGCGCATCCACAAAAGGTAACATCATTATCTGACCAGCTTCGTGACCTCTTTTCTCTTGACAGAACTGCCTCACTTTTATACAACCCTCTTGGAAGTGCAGCGGCATCTTCATTTCTTTGCTTTTAAGACTGCCCAGACATGTGCCCTGTGCTAAGCAAGCATTACAAGAACCAGAGCTCTCCGTGTGTGTGCTGGGATTTGCTGGTGTTTGCCTAATTCAGAGATTCCAAGAAGGTGGCCAGGGTGCAGATATTTGGTGTATTTGGCTTGCATGAGATTGGCAAACAGACAATGTTTTAAAATAGTAAATAAGTTACCAACATTTAAAAATCAGGAGATTCCTCATACAACTACAGCTTCTTTTGAAAAAATTAGAAGACTGGCAACAGTGAATTCAGTTTTTCATCCAACTATCAGCTGTAGCAGTTACTCCTTCAATGGATGGAGGCTGGCCAATTTTACCGTCCTCACCACTCCCTATTGTCTCTAATCCCAAGGCCCAGTGGAACTGCCGACCATTGATGAGCTTAAGCTATGGCCTTTCTCACCCCTGTTTGACTCATTCGTATTCCCTTCCAGGTCTTACTGACCAGGCTGCTCAGTCTAATGTTGATTCAGGGCTTGTGTCCCTCCTCAAGCCAAGCACCTGCTTTCAAATTGGTTTTCAGAAACCAGGGGTGGGGTCTTCACTTTCTGCACCTCCCTCTACCCTTCCTACCACAAGAATCTCTTCCCAAAGCCTGTTAGCACCAGACAGCTTTCAGCTGTGCGTGTCACCAGACACCCAAACCTGTTTGGGTTTCACCATCTACTCTCTTTCAGGTCTAGGCATTTGGTAGAGTGAGATGGGCAGAGTTTAGGTTCTGAACTCAGCTCAGTGACTTTCTTCCTTTTTTTTTTTCTTTTAAAGATTTATTTATTTATTTATACAAGCACTGGGTACAGTCAGAAGCACGGGAGGGTGAGAGAATTCACCAGAGCCAGAGCGGAGAGCAGAACAGGCAGAAGTACACTGTTGAGGGGAGCAGCGGGCGGCAGGAGAGGTCTGCGCGCCATGTGGGACCCTCGCCCGGTGGCCAGGGATCCAACCTGCGCTGCAAAGGCTGCGGACAGCTTCGCAACCCGGAGCTCAACCGCTGCGCCACAGGGAGGCCCAGCGTAGTGACTTTCTAACAAGTGAATTCATCTTGTTAAAATTCCTTTCTTTGGTGCAAAATGCAGCGGGATCCTGGGGTGTCGAGAGGAATAAATGTACTGATCCTGTTAGGTCCTAATCACTGGTGCACAGTCGGGGTCGGCCAAACCTTTCTCCTCTATTTAGGACTTGTAGATTTTTTTTTTTTTTTAATAGAGGCATGTTTTATTTATTTATTTATTTGTTTGTTTGTTTTTTGTTTATACATGCACTGGGTACAGTCAGAAGCGCGGGAGGGTGAGGGAATTCACCAGAGCCAGAGCGGGGAGCAGAACAGGCAGAAGGACCGAAGTACACTGCTGAGGGGAGCAGCGGGCGGCAGGAGAGGTCTGCGCGCCATGTGGGACCCTCCTCCAGTGGCCGGGGAGCAGCCGGGGATCGAACCGGCGCCGCAGAGGCCGCGGGCAGCTTCGCAACCCAGCGCTCAACCGCTGCGCCACCGGGGAGGCCCAGGACTTGTAGATTTTAGTATGACCTTCCTTTCATTTCTCTAAAAACATCTACCCTTCAAGTATCAGCATCACTCCCCTTTCCCGAAATTTATTTTTCATGTTCTTTTCTTACCTCAATTTTCTCGTATAAAAATGCTAATTCTGTAGTTTAAAAATGCTAATCCTGGCCTTTAACTCAACAGTGCAGTGTTGCATTCTTTTTTATTGCTTGCTTCTCTTCCCACCATTTAGTATTCTTACCCCATTTTTAACATCTGTTTTCTTACATTTTCTGTATTCTCCTCTTGGCGCCTAGCTGCAGGTGGGCAGCGGGGAGACCAGAACAGGGACTGGAGACAACCTGCCAGACCAAGGATGCCTGCCCCCCCTTATCAAGCTCCCCTTCCACTCTCCTTATGGGACCCCATTCTTTTTTTATGCATACAAGAACTGGGGTACAGGCCAGAGGTGCAGGGGGGTGAGAGGATTCACCAGAGACAGAGTGGGGAGCAGAACAGGTAGACTGACTGACACTGCTGAGGGGAGCAGCAGGTGAGTCAGGAGAGGTCTGCCGTGCCATGTGGGTAGCTCCCTGGCTGAGGATCGAACTCCTGCTTCAGTGGCTGCGGATAGCTTCATAGGTTGCGCCTTCACCCTTTGTGACACCAGGGAGGCCCGGGACCCCATTCTTAATATTGGGTCACTCACCGCCACTCACCTGAGCTGTGAGAAAATCACAGGTAAACAGAAAAAGCCCTTCACATTCATGATCCTAACAGGGACAGTTGATCCCTGGTGCTTCTTCGGTGCCAGCCTCTGTTCTTAGGACCCAGGGGTACACCTGATCTACCCCTCACAAGAGAGCTGGGAGGCAGGAGGCAGGAGGTATTCTGACGTCTGTTGTCACAAGCACAGGATGAGCGTGAGGGAGATCTGGGGCTACAGGGGCCCCCTAAAGGGGTAGTGTGGCTCCAGGGGGCTGGGCTGCCCTGGGGTTGAAGGGCTGCCTCAGTGTGGGGAGGGAGGCATAAACGCCATCTGCTGCCATTAAAGAAGCAGCGAGCCCATTAGGCATCTCCATCTCCACAAACACATCTGAGGATGGAGGACGGGCACAGGGCCAGCAGCAGCAGGGGGCAGTGCTGCCCTGCACTGGGGCCACCGCAGGGGAGGGGGGGACACTCCTCTCTCCAGGCCCCACCCCGCTCCTTTCGAATTTGTGTCTCTGCAGGACAAATGAAGAAGGCCCGGCTCCCGCTCCCTACACCCAGGCCTCCGCCGTGAGGAGGTTTCGGCCGCCGTGAGGAGGTTTCGGCCGCCGTGAGGCGGTTTCGTGCATCACCTCATTAACCCGGCCGAGGCTTTTCCTGCTGCCTTTTTTCTCCGTAAACTTCCTAACAATCTAATCACACCAGGAACTAGGAGCTGGTTTTCTTTATCAACGTTTTGATAAGAAATAAGAAAGCAAAAGCAATTTTTCTCGCCCATGATATTTTGTTGTACCCTCTCCCCATCTCTTCACCGCTCTCCGGTTTGAGACGGAGCCGCGGCTGCCCGGGCCAAGGTTTCCAGCCAGCTCCTCCGCCCTGGGGCTCGCTACCCGCGCGGCTGGCCTTTGCTTGCCTCGGTTGCCTCAGAACAAAACCCTCCCTCACAGTAAAGCCGGACGAAGCATTTTAGTCAAGTCCTTCTCCTCCTTAAGAGGAAACGCAGAGCGTCCCTGGCGGGACTTGAGCCTTCTCCTAACTTCTCCTAGGGCAGCCAATGTCCACTCCCGCGCCGGACTCCGGCGCACCCCCAGGCGCGCCCCGCCTCCTGCCAGCTCACATCTCGCCGTCCCGGGGGGTCAGCCCTGGTCCCCAGCTGAACAGTCCCCAGCACTGAGGGGCCCCCTAATTACTCCCAATACCCAGAGTGGCACTGGCCACTGAACGGCACCCACAGAGGAACAAATGCACCCGTTCCCCTTTGACGAGCCCGGGGCCCAGCCCTGCGAGGTGGCCCTTTGCCTCCCGAGCAGCCTCTGCATTCTGCCTCTGCCTCCTCCCACCGCTGCACACTCCTGTCTCTAAAGGCGAGGGCTCCCTAACCACGCGGGCGTGGGCTGGGGGGCATCGCTACACCAGCTGGACGAGACTGCAGGGCAGCTGTGAGCGGGGTTGTGCTTGGCCGCAGCGCGCTGCCGCGGGCGTCCAGAAAACATGTTTCTGGTCGGGGGCCGCGTGGTTTGCAAACCATGTTGGTCACGGACAAAAGACGGGTCTTCCTTCCTGGATGTCTTGGCAACACAGCTAGGACCCGACTGGAGAAGGAAGCCTGGAGCCTGTTATATTGTGGACACGCTAGCAAACAAGTTCTTAGGCTCCCCCTGGGCCTGCGCCTGAGTTGCTCTCTTGTAAGTTCACATCTCCAGCTCAGGTGAGAGCCACAGGGGGGAAGACAATCAAGTCTATTCTGGGTGTCTTAAAACCCTCGAAAAACAAAGTGCCTCAGTGTTCTCCCAGGCGCCCCCCTCGCCTGAGCTCATCCCCTTCATCTCTAGGCACCCTTCCCTCTACATCTCTCACTATTCAAAGCATCCATGTAACCCCTAAGTGCTCCGGGCCACTTCCCCTGCTTTTTTAAAGACCCTAGTGAGTTAATCCATCAAGTAAGGGGTCACTATGGGGAGACAAGTCCTACCTGCCTTGACAGACAAATGGTGTTTTTAAAAAGGGGGCGTCATTTACATGTAGTATATACAGACCGGGAAGGTAGAGCGTTTGACGAGTTTACTGTAAGACGTGGCTGTCAGGTAACACCGAGGGGCGTGACTGTGCTGGCGGGCTGGGGAGCCGGGCCCTGAGTCCCAGTGGCAAACCAGGCACCATGAGAAAAGGGGGGACCGCCTTATTCTGTGGCTAAGTTGGGTGTGCACGCAGGCAAACAGCTTCATGGGGGGCCCTCACTGAGTGCTCCCCAGGAGGGGAGCTGACTCCCTGCTACAGCCACAGGCCTCCTTCAGCCTGCATTTTTTCTCTGTAAACCCGGAATCTGGAAACTCTAGGCAAAACAAGATCCCCTTGGTTTTTTTCTGCTCACGAACTAAGAATGTTTTTCACATTTTCAGAAGGTTGAAAAAATCAAAAGGAAAATAATAATTCATGATGCATGAAAATTACATGAAGTTCGAATTCCAGGGCCCATAAATACAGGTTTATTTATTGGCACACGGCCAGGCCACTCATTCCCATACCTGCGGGTGGCTGTTTTCACTCGACAATGGCAGGGTGGCGTATTTGTGACATAGACCATAAGGCTCCGCAGCTGAAAATATTCATTATCTGGCCTTTTGCAGAAAAAGTTTCCTGACACCTGGCTTAGGTCATTTAGGTAATAGCCTTTGGGCAGGTCAATTCCCCCTTCCCAGGCTTAAGTGCTGGTGGAGACTGGAGACATGGGCCATATACCCACAAGTAAATCAGCGTGGGTGCGGGGAGTTCCTGTCTTGTAGCCATGAAAAGACATGTCAACGCACAATAATAAAGGGCTCTTTTTTGTTCTTGCTAATAGAGCTAGAAGGAAAATAATAAAAACACAAGCAAAAAGCCAAGAGGATGTAAGGACACTAAGGTACAGTAAAGGCACTATGAACTGGTTCACCTCTTCTTTCAAACAATCCGGCCCAATTAGCAGTCATAAAAGTGTTCATACTCTTTGACCTAATTGTCTGACTCCTGGAAATCTATCCTAAGGAAACGATTAAAAGAACAAAAACACTGTGTCAAGATGTTGGCATCAGCGTTTTTCTAAGAAAATGCCAGAAGCAACCCGAAATGTTTAGCCATTGGAAATGAATCAGTAGATTCTATGCCCAAGTAAGAGATATGAATGCTTGATACATGAAAAAATTAAACTAAAGACTATTAAAACTAAGCATGCTAGATAGTTTGGAAGACCATGAATATGCAATGAGTTACATGAAGGGTGAAGTAGCCAGCTGAGAAAAATATCTTATTCTTAAGGACACTTGAACCAGTTTCAACAATTCCACACACAGTCATTAGCCCTTTTAAAAGAAAAGCCTTTGCAGACAAAGACAGCACACACATACAGAACACAGGACTGGGTGGGCCTCTGGGACACATTTCTCACAGAGCAAAGAATGACTAGCAGTATTTTCATCCAAATCGATTTGTACCTAAAATCTCCACTCCAGAAAACTCAGATTCAATTCATCAACTTATATGTTACATATAGACAGCTTTTTGTATCTTAGTCATACGTCAAAAAAGCGGTTAAAAATTAAAAGAAAATGTGGGGCCTCCCTGATGGCCTAGGGGTTAAGGCTCAGCACTACCACCACAAAGGCCTGAGTTCAATCCCCGGCCAGGGAGCCGACTCACATGGCGCAGCAGACCTCTCCTGTCTCGCCCACTGCTCCCCTCAGCAGTGTATTTCACTAGATCTGCCTGTTCTGCTCCCCACTCTGTCTCTCCCCACTCTGTCTCTGGTGAATCCTCTCATCCCCTCCACCTCTGGCCTACACCCCAGTTTTTCTATGCAAAAATAAATGAAATCGGGCCTCCCCGGTGGCGCAGCGGTTGAGCGCTGGGTTGCGAAGCTGCCCGCAGCCTCTGCAGCACAGGTTTGATCCCCGGCTGCTCCCCGGCCCCTGGAGGAGGGTCCCACATGGCGCGCAGACCTCTCCTGCAGCCCGCTGCTCCCTTCAGCAGTGTACTTCAGTCCTTCTGCCTGCTCTGCTCCCTGCTCTGGCTCTGCTGAATTCTCTCACCCTCCCACGCTTCTGACTGTACCCAGTGCTTGTATAAATAAATAAAAATAAATCTTAAAAAAAAAATTCTTTAAAAATAAATAAATAAATAAATAAATAAATAAAATCATTAAAGAAAGAGAAAAGAAAACACATCGTTTTCGTAATCCTTAAGGAACAGGTGACTAAGAAAAGAATTGTTCTCAATGAAGATAAAAATTAGAATCATTCTAGTAATTCAGCCATTGTACCTAGAACTTTAGGCTTTGGTTTTACTTCAAAGTATTCTCTTTTACTTAAAAAAAAAAAAAAAAAAGTACATAAATAAATCCTAAGAAAGAAAGGTGGCAGTTTGGGAAAAAAAAAAAAAAATGCAAGCTCCTACCAAAGATGATGCCAACTAGGAAAAAACCCACAGAACACCATGGTGCCATTTGCTTTTATATTTTTATGACACTCAATAGAGCCCTGCACGGTGATCCTAATCTCATCTCTTATCTCTGTCACAGCCTTTTTGGGACACTGTGGAAGATCTGGCACAGGCAGGAAGGCAAACCCTATGCCTCCTGGGGACCAGAGGGTCATACACTCACTCACATGGCTTTTACAATCTATTCAGTACAATTTAAATTTAACACAGGCCTGGAAACAACCCAAAAGTCCATCAACTGGTGAAGGTATATCCATGCAATGGAATAGTATTCAGCCATAAAAAGGAGTGAAGTACTGAGACCTGCTATAAGGTGGATGAACCTTGAAAGCATGGTGTTAACAAAAGAAGTCAAACACAAATACCACATAAGATTCCATAACGGCCAAATCTATGGAGACAAAAAGTAGATTAGTTGTTGCTAAGGCTGGGGGGAGGGGTGTGAGCTTTAAAGGGAACTGGATCTCTTTTTAAGGAGATAAAAATGTTCAAACTTAACTGTGGTGAGTTGCACAGCCCGGTAAATACGATAAAAGCCAGTGAATTGTATACTTTTAACTTATGAATTGTATGGTGTGGAAATTATATCTCAATAAAGCAATTTAAAAAATTTTTCAAGACAGGTGAAAGGTACTAATTGAACAACAAACAGAGCCTCCATGGTGGTGCAGCGGTTAAAGACTCAGTACTATCAGCCTACCCCCAGCCACTGCAGCACAAGTTCAATCCCTGGCTGGCCAGGGAGCTGATCCACACAGCGCAGAAGACCTCTCCTGTCTCACCTGCTGCTCCCCTCAGCAGTGTATTTCAGTCAGTCTGCCTGTTCTGTCCCCGCTCTGTCTCTGGTGGATCCTCTCACCCCCCACCTCTGGCCTACACCCCAGTTCTTGTATGCATAAATAGACAAGTAAAAATAAAATCTTAAAAAAAAAATAAGAAATGGGGCCTCCCCGGTGGCGCAGCGGTTGAGCGCAGGGTTGCGAAGCTGCCTGCAGCCTCTGCGGCGCCGGTTCTATCCCCGGATGCTCCCCGGCCAACTGAGGAGGGTCCCACATGGCGCGCAGACCTTTCCTGCCGCCCGCTGCTCCCCTCAGCAGTGTACTTTGGTCCTTCTGCCTGCTCTGCTCCCCGCTCTGGCTCTGGTGAATTCTCTCACCCTCCCGCACTTCTGACTGTACCCAGTGCATGTATAAACAAACAAACAAACAAACAAACAAACAAACAAATAAATAAAACATGCCTCTATAAAAAATAAATAAATAAAAAATATTTAAAAAAATTAAAAAAAAAAAAGAAATAACAAACGTTGGTGTTATATTTAAGACTGATAAGAATCATCAACTCATTTTTGTGTCTACTGTAAAGAAAAAAATTTTAAATCAGGCTGGTTTCCATCAAGACAGATCCAGGGCCTCCCTGGTGGCGCAGCGGTTGAGCGCTGGGTTGCGAAGCTGCCCGCGAACTCTGCGGCGCCAGTTCGATCCCCGGCTGCTCCCCGGCCACTGGAGGAGGGTCCCACATGGCGCGAAGACCTCTCCTGCCGCCCGCTGCTCCCCTCAGCAGTGTACTTCGGTCCTTCTGCCTGCTCTGCTCCCCGCTCTGGCTCTGGTGAATTCTCTCACCCTCCCGCGCTTCTGACTGTACCCAGTGCTTGTATAAACAAAACAAATGAACAAGTAAATAAATAAATAAAACATGCCTCTAAAAAAAAAAAAAAAGACAGATCCAATTTCTAAACATATTGAACACAATGCCCTTTTTAAAAGCCTGGTATGATTGTCACTGCATCTTCTATAGCAGATAAAATTTTAAAGCATTCCATGTCTCACTCACCATCTGTTGTCACTTAGGCAATTGTTTGAACCAAGTTTCAAAGTATTTGAAAACATCTGAAAGCCAAAGAATTGCTAATATGTACAAAGAGAAAACAATTCTTAAATTCTTAAGGAAAAAGAGTCACTTAGGAAACAATGGCTTCTTATCCAGAGGAAGTAGGGAAAAGTGTATACCTTGAAACCTTTCCATTTTAAACTCTTATTGTTGCTAGGAAGCTTTCTATTTCTATTCTTTGAAGCTGCTTATCATCTCTAGAGGAGAAACTCACAATTTCTGGTTTTTTTCCTTCAAGAAGGCATTTTTCTAAAGTATTCTAACTTCACAGGAATGATGCTGACATCTGAGAGACCTGGGTCCCCTTCCTCTGCACCTGGCCCTCTTAGCACCTCATGACCCCCTCTATCACACTTCCTGTTGGTTTTGAGGCTCCCGGGCAGGGCTGGTATCGGTACCATTCACTCCTGTATCTGCAGAATCTAACACATTTGGCACGGAGCAGGCCCTCAAGATCTGTTTATTATGTTGAATTAAAGACTTTGGTGTTTTACATGGTTATTTCCATAAAATATGTTACTCTGTGGGGTGGCGGGGAGAGTGCCACAGACATGAGAACCTTATCGGGAGTAGGAAAACCAGCCAATGCCAGGTGGCAAGCCACATTCTGTTTTCCTCTCCCCAAGCTGGAGCTTCCGGGGGACCAGAGAAACACAGTGTGAGAGACGTAGCTGCCCTCCTTCTCAAGAAGTCCATGAATTAGCCACTAAAACCAGCCAGACACGCAGCAATTAAACAGGGAGCGGGGCCCAGTGCAGTGGAGAGAAGAGTGGGTGCAAAAGCACTGAGCTGGAATCAGGGGTCTCCCAGTTCAGGGGCATCTCAGGGCCCTTGGTTGACTCACAAAGCAGCCCACCCTGGGCAGGGTTCACGAAGAGTAAAGGAGAAGGGGCGTCTGTGTGTGTACTACCAACGCAGGGGCAGACAGGTGAGAGGCAGAGCTTCTAGAAGGGAAGGGGTTGGTGGAAGGGCGGGGTGCCCCTCCACCGGGCGTTGCACGTTCAGCCATGCCAAAGACCAAGGTCTTGGAAAACAAATGATCTGAGAAACTTACTTAATATTGAATTCTCAGTCTTGAAAACGGTTCTTCTCATTCCCAGCCTCATTGTTCCTCCCAAGTTGCCGGGGTGGTGTTCGGGCATATCAATCACCTGCGAAAACAAAACAAGTTTGGTTTTGCTATTTTGTAAAAATGTGATTTCCCAAATTTCAAGCTTCACTTTTAGAGGAATGATCAGTGGGGTAAGGATGCTCCCTAAACAATAAGATCGAATCATTCCTTCCAAGTTTCCTCCTCCAATATCACCATGCTTTCCACACTCCTCCTAGCGCGCTCTTTTTCGTCTCTGCTTCTCATCAGTCATTCAAATCACTCGTAAAAAATTCATCAGGAGCAGCTTTATGACCTTCCTCCTGTCATTACTCAACCTGTCGGTCCAGGCAATGTTCACTCTTCGTGTTCTGGGCTTCTGGGGCCTCCCACTTTGGTATTCACATCCCCCCATAATAACAACCCCCTCCCACTGCCTACTTCATTCCCTAAAGATCCTCCAGAAGCAAATCTGTCAATCTTGGTGGAGACGCACAGACATGCCTCATTTTTTTCGTGCTTTGCTCAACTGTGTTTCACGGATATTACATTTTTCACAAATGGAAGGTTTGGGGCCAGCGTGCAGCAAGCACGGCTCCAGGCGCCATTTTTCCAGCAGCACGGGCTCACTTTGCGTCTCCGGGTCGCAGCGAATTAAAGTAAGTGCATTTTTTAAGACATAAGGCAATTGCACACTTAACAGACTAGAGTCTGATGCAAATGTGACTATCACACACACTGGAAAACCAAATGACTCACTTTATTTCAACATTTGCTATATTGCGGGGGGTCTGGAAGAGAACCTGAAATAAATCTGAGGTATGGCACTATACCAAAAGCACTTTTAGAATTCCTTTCTTGAAAGAAAAAAAAGCAGTATCTATTCTAGCACATTCTGTAGATCAGCATGCTACCCTCTCCCCCTCTCCCTCCCCCCTCCTATCTAACCTGTCAAGTTCTGTCAGTTCACCCCCTCCAGACTTCCCATGCACAGGCTCCCACCTCCAACTAAAGCACAGCCCCTCACTCAGACCACAGCCAGACTTTCCTCACAGGCTGCCCCACACTCCCCCTCCTAGGGCCCCAGGCCACCCTGCAGGCGCAGGCAGAGTAGCACCTGCTTGAAATCCTTGACTTGGGATATCAGCCCAGCCTAACCCTCTAGCCTCACCCCACATGACTCCCCGTGCACCCTGAGCTCTGGTCACCGAGACCATCTTCAGTTCTTCAACTGCCTCTTCCTTCCTCCCACATGGGGACTCAGGACGTGCTGTTCCCTCTACCCCAAACATGTTCTCCCACCCCCACCCCCTTTTTCTTAAATTAAGCCATCCTCCACCTTGAGGCCTCAACTCAATTAGCATATCCATTGTGAGCTTCCACGGAGCTGACAGTCCAGGGGGCTCTGCTGGCCTGGTCTGTCCTCTCATCCTCTCATCCTCGGTTTGGGTGCAGAGAGTGTGCTAGACTTTACATGACTGAGAGCCGGAGCAGCTTTTCCTTACCACAGCACGCCCAGCCCCTCACAGGTGAGCAACAGCCCATGGTACCAACCGCACGGACACACGAGTGAGCGAATGAACTCAGACTCGACCATTTCAGATTTATCTTGATGATTAATTCACAGAAATTCAGAATCATGTGATTTTTACGAAGAGCCTGTTCTCACCAGGCGTTGGTCTGTTTCCTCATCTGTTTAAGACCCTCTCATGACTTCATTTCAGCTTTCTTTTCTAAGTTGTGAGAACAGGCTACCGGCGAGATAACCTGCTGAATTCGGATTGCTCAAGCTTCCCGCTCATAAAAACCTTTCCGTTTCTTTCCCCCCCAAACCCTAACTGCCACATATTGCTCTGTAGAAATCCTTCACAACTGTAATTTCCTGAGGTAAAAATTTTCCAAGAACTTGTCTGATCTTATCAACGCCCCAGAACTTTCCAAGCCATCTGAACCCTGTGTCCCAAGTACACTCTAAGAGTCATTGAGGGGAAGGGGTGGAGAACGAACTTGATTACCCCCTTGTTGGATGGAGTGCTCAGTTCTGAAGTGCTTTTGGCCTTGGCGTCTCTTTCCTATCTTCTCTGCTTGGCTAATTATGGCTAGATAGTATTATTGAGGAGGGGTGAGAGAGGGCATTAGCGTCCAGTTCACAAACCTGAGCTGCTTATAAACGCCCAGCCCCTTATGTATTTTCTAGGAAAGAGCAGATAAGACTGCACCACACGACACAGAATCTAAGAAGTCCTAAGTTTATTCACAGCCTCAGTTTCCGCTTACGCCATCTGGGAGGCCCACAGCCACGAAGCCGTCCTGGCCTGTGGTCCTCAGCCCACCCCGACTTACAGCGATGAAGTCTACCCAGGAAGAGTCTTTTCATGCAGTTTGTTCAGTTATTGTCTTTGGTAGTCAAGAAATGTTCTAGTATGAAGCATTGAGGACAGAGTCAAATAACCCAACCGAAGACAGGAAACCTGCCTTACTGCCTACGTGGAACAAACTGACAAACGCAAGACCAGAGAAGAATTCCAACATTAAAGTGGGGGTGAGGAAGAGAAGGGAAGTGCCTCTAGCCACAGGGAAGATCTGCAAATTCCTGACAGAGCCCCAGGAGGGGCCCACTTAGAAACAGGAGATAAATAGCAGGAGAAACAGCTGCCAGAGTCCAGGGTGGTGGAGCGGAGGTGAGGGCTGCTGAATTTTTCCTGAGAGGCCTTTTGCAACTGTCGGCTTTTAAAACTTGGTGCATATTGTCTGTGTCTGGGAAGCTGGGGACATGGGGAGATCCCCAGTGGTCCAAGGGCATCGGACCTCATCCCCCCATCCCTCTTCCCTCCCTTGAAGCCCTTCAGTAAAGTGGCTTGAGTCTAAAAAAGAAAAAAGCAACTTCGCGCACAGTATTACTTCAATGAAAACACAAACTTAAGGCCCAAATGGTGAAATGTACATTTAGGCCTTACATGACAGTAGCAGTTCACGCATCCTGGCCGCTTTCAGGATCCGTCAACACAACCTTCTCCTGGAATGACAGCCGGGAAAGGAGCACCAAGGGTGTTCCTCCACGGTGACCCTCTGGTTAAAACATGTGAGCACAGTAACCAGCCGTAAAGGCAAAGAAAGTGTTAGAGCAAAGGGGGGCAGTGCGTGCAAGTAGTTTTCCGACTCTGAATGATACCCTGAAGGTTGGAGAAAAGGAGACAAGCAGAGCAAAGTCAGGTAAGTTGCCCTCTGGGGTCTGGCTTGGGAGGGCGGGCTGGGGGACCCCCATGACACACTCAGTGAAGGTTGACCAGGCCAGGCACAAGCTGAGGGCACCCAGCACTCTGGAAGGGGAAGCTGGGGAGGCAGAAAGCACCACATCTCCCCACCAGCCGCCTTGCAGAGTTTCCAGGCGATCCTCCAGGCTCTAAAGATGACAGCAGACTGTGTCTTGGATTACAAGCTCCCTGATTCAGCAACAAAATTAAGGACGTCTTTGTTCCCAGCAGTCCTTCCACAAAAAAGCCCGAGACAAGAGATCATCACACTTTCCGAAGATATCTTGGATCACTACTGAGTGATTAAGGAAAAGAACCTCAAAAATGCTTTCCTTCTGAACCCAGCATTTCCAATATACCTGAGATTTTTTTTGCATCTCAGGGAGGGAATGTCCCCTCCGTTACAAAAGGGTCGCCTCTGCCCACTCTGACTCTGCCTAAATACTGGCTGACAGGCCCCACGAGAGACCTGTGATTTCTTGGAACTGAGCCATCTAGCATAAGAAAAATAAAAAAGGATCAATAAGTAACGAATATTGGTGGTGATAAAGTTCTAAGAGATGTAAAAGCACCACTAATTAACCTTTACCGAAGTTTCTACAGACCATGATAAAAGTGTAATGGATTCAAGACGTCATGAGTCCTGGTGCCTCAAACAATAAAGTCTAGGGAAGCGCTGTCCTCTTATCAAAGATGAAATTCCTCAATGGCAGTGTGTGAGGGAGAAGCCTTCCCACCTACGTGGCAGAGTCCGGGTAAGGCTGGCTTCCCCCGTGTCCTTGCCTTTGAACGTTTCATCCAGGGACCTTACCTCCCAGCAGACGTGTTCACAGACAAATCTCTCAGATTTCGTAGTATATTCCTGAAGTATTCTCCACAAGGATGTCCCCAGCACATTCCTTTCCTCCTGCTCAACAGGTTTTTCTGTTCCTTTTTTTTTTTTTTAAGATTTATTTATTTATTTATTTATACAAGCACTGGGTACAGTCAGAAGCACGGGAGGGTGAGAGAATTCACCAGAGCCAGAGTGGGGAACAGAACAGGCAGACTGACGAAGTACACTGCTGAGGGGAGCAGCGGGCGCGGCAGGAGAGGTCTGCGCACCATGTGGGACCCTCGCCGGTGGCCGGGGATCGAACTAGCACTGCAGAGACTGCGGGCAGCTTCGCAGCCCAGTGCTCAACCGCTGCGCCACCAGGGGAGGCCCTTTTTTGTTGTTGTTGTTCTTTTTTTTGTTGTCGTTCTTTTTTTTAAAGCCTGTTTCTGATTTTGATTCTCTTCAAGCCATATTCAAGTCGAGCATCAAGTATGAACCCATCTGGTATCCATATTATAGCACCTCACACTGCCTCACCCGGCACCACTGCGGAGCACACACAGCTCCGCCTGGGCCTCAGCTTCCAGCACATTCAGGATCTCCAACTATTTTAGCTCGTGGTGCAGCCCTGACTCAGACAAGTCCACGCCAAAGGCTCCTCTGTGCCCCCTCCCCAGCCCAAGCCACACCTGTCACCTCTGTGATACTTTCCTAAGATGCCGTCTCCCTCCATTCCACATGGCTTGTGCTTCAGGGACCCCCTCCACCTCTCCTTACTGTCCCCTAATTAATACCACTGCTAGGATCCCCTCTTAAATAAATAACGCATGTGCTGTTCATGCATTTTCAGTTGGTCCTCATGCTTGGCTGAATAGTGGCACCTCAAAGACGCCCCAGTCCTACTCCCCAGAACCTGTGAGTGTTACCTTCTATAGCAAAAGGGATCTTACAGATGTGATCGAGCCGAGGCTCTGGAGCTGGGAAGGCTCC